CATACAGGTCTAATAATGTGTTTTTTATTTTTTGTATTTTTGTGTGAGATTGTTTATATGTTTGTAACATTTGTTGTGTTTAAGTATAATACTTAATATTATATATGTTGAACTATATTTTTTAAATGTCACTTAAATGAATGATATTATACACCAATATAAAAAAAGTTACATTTATTGGACTAATACTGCTGCCAGACTTAAACATTTCCAACAAAAAAATTACTTTTTTTGGCTTTATTGAAGTAATTTATTATCTAAGTTTATTATTATTATTTTCCTTCCTGGGAGGACCCTAAACAAAATGTAACTTCTCTAGTTTTCGTTTTTCTTTTTTAAGGACGAAAGATCCTGGCTAGTTAGCACGTGTATTGCTTCACAAAAAAGTGGCACATTTATTATTATTATTATTATTTTCCCCAAGAGTTGGGCCATGAACTTAGATATTGAAGATAATTTGGAATTTTCCTTTTGTCCAAAGCGATATATTCTGTAAATGACATTCGTGTAAAAGTTCTTTTAATAGTACTTATTAATAAAAGTTCAGTTTAATGGGAATCACAATTACATAAATTCAAGCATGTACTAATTTATTAAAGTTGCAAATTGGGATTTAACGCCTTGATCTCTTCTCTCCTTAAAAAGAGAATTCACTTCTCCCTGTTTCGTTGTTTAAATGTCTTTTTTTTTTTTAGTGTTTTTTTTTTTTTTTTCTTTTTTTTGTTTTTTTTTTTTTTTTTTTTTTTTTTTTTTTTTTCATTTCTTCTTTTCCTTCCTTATCTTTTTCATTGCATCTTTTAACCTGTAATTTTTATATACTTTTAAATATATCCCTTTAAATACTTTTTTACTGTTATTTACAATATTATTTTTTTTAATTCCTTGTTAAATTAATTTATTCTCATATGTGCTTCTACATAAATGTTTTTTGTTTGTGATCCTCATAAATTACACCTTTAATTGTGAAATATTTCACATAAGTTTTTTTTTTCTTTTTTCTTCTGTTTTTTATTTCAGATCTTTTTTCTCGCTTTTTGTCTTTGTTTCTTTTATTCTTTTATTCTTTTCTTTTTTTCCCTGACAATTTGTCTAACTATTGTCTAAATGAATCACGCACGCGAAGCGCACGGTTTTCATTAGTTAAAGATTAAAATTAGACAAATAATATTCAACTTTTATCAGACGTTTACTTATTTCCTATTAGAATATAAAGACACAAACACACTTACAGGACAAAATAAAAATTGCTCACGTTATAAAGACGATATCTATCAATCTCTGTTCTAGGAAGTAGAGATCTATCTTATTCACTCATACAAGATGAACACAATTTACAATTATGAAAATAAACTGTTTATTTTGGGGGTTTTTTTTTTTCCATCACATTTGTCTCTATTCATTCTAAGAGCTAGTAATACAAGCATAAAATTTGAAATTTCTAACGATAATTTTTTACCTTTATTTTTCCTCGTGAGGTAAGACATGGGCAAGAGTAATGAAGGACAAATAGTAATTGTGCATGCAAATCGAAATTGGGAAATTAATTATTAAAAGAAAATTGAAAGCATCCATGCATTTTGGCTATATTCTATAAAAATAATCTAATCATATCCATCTAGTTTTTTTTTTTTTTTTTTTTTTTTTTTTTTTTTTTTTTTTTTAAGTATTCTTCATATTTGCATTATTGACTATATAAGAGTTTTTTTTTTTTTTTTTTCTCTTTCTCACTTCAAAAGATGTATATTTGTCAAGAGGGTTTGAACGTCGGCAAGAGATAAAATTATTTTAGTTTCATGTGTTATAGTAAAACATGTTCTTGATATCCCGTGTTTTTTTTATAATATTAAAGTGACACATTAACGTTTTTAAAAATGTTTCTTTAGTACCTTGAAGTTGATTTTTGAGACGTAAAATGACTTTAGTATCCTTCTATTTAATTAACTAAAAACTAATAAATTTAGAAAAAAAAAATCATAAGATTTTTTATTTTGTTGTTTTCTTTTAAATATTTTAATGTTTTGAAATATTTTAGATTTTTATACAAAAATATTATCACTATTTAATTAATAAGAAGAGTAGTTTGGATATTGCATGTCTCCAAGGATGAAAATGGCCATGATATTGTTGACATTTTCACGACATTGTTCATATTTTGAAGTCTCGGCATGGATAAGAAGGAGAAAGATAGTCCTCCCAGCATGTCCGTAAAATGTCCCCAATGTCTAAGAATATCCACTATATCTGTTAATATCTATAAATATCCCAGATTTTTTAAAAATGTCCACAAAATGTCCAAAATCACGAGGATTTTTTTTTGCACAAAAATTAATTTTATAGCACATATTAATCTTTTCCTATCTTTTTCAATAAAATGAGAAAATATGATTCAAATCAAAAGCAAAAAAAAAAATTACTAAGACTTAATTAGTTTGTAAATAATTTTAATCTTTTAAATGAATAATTCATATTCAAAGATTAATATTTTAGTCGTACTGACCACTTGGCAACATTTAAAATGTGATTTACGGTACCAAGCAGATATTTTTAATAACATCAAGGTACCCTTTTAATATTATAAAAAATACATGACACTAAGAGTATGTTTCTCTATAACAGAAAGTACCAAAATAATTTTTTTCCCTTTATTAAAAGAAGCAATGACACAAAAAGAAAAATATTGGAAACAATTTTGAATTTTTCATGTTTTCACAAGATCTCATCATATCAATATCTTGTTTGATTCCACATAATTTGAAGTAAAGCATTATGAGTGCATCTATTGACACCACTCCTATTTTTTACGCTTCTTTTTCATAAAAATTTTTAGGAGATTTTGTTTCATGTATCCATCTTTGGTTCTAAATCATGGTTCATGGTTCTCTACAATATTTTTCTCTCACAAAAAATTTAAACTTCAAAAATCAGAATCATGAATCATGATTCTGAATCCATAAACCAAACGTTACCTTAGTACTAAATTACTCATTAATAAAAGTACTTTTTAATACAAAGTATTTAAAAAAATACTTATTACACGTCTCATCTTAAAATAAATGTTATAGGAGGTCTATTACCACCCCTTAATTTACTCTTTTCACACTCTTTATAATAAATTAATTTACGAAAAACAACCATCATGCATTCCATCCCTTTAAAAAAAATATTATTCCATCTTAAAATTATATGCCCTACGTTCTTTTTTTTTTTTTTTTGACAAATAGGGAATGAGTTCTAACATGAAAAAAAACTTCTACAAATAAAATTCGTAGTGTTTTTTTTTTTTTTTTTTTCCCCGCTCAAGATTCTTGTTTCTTACATATATAAACTTTTTTTGAATTAGTACCAGCACAAATCATTTACCGTTTTTTGTTCTTATATCTATATAGCCTTAAAAAAAAACAGCACAAATTATTTACCATTTTTATTCTTATATCCTCTACACAGCCTTAAAAAAAAATATAAACCCGATTTGTACAAATGGTTTATAAACCCCTTAATAAAAGCATATAAATCCCAGTGTATACAAATTGTTAATATGAACCCAAATGCAAAAAAGAGAGTGATCGACATTAGCATACAAATTGTTGAAGGTCTTAATAGCTGGCCTTACCCTTTGACGGGGAGCATTGATCAGTCTCATCAAATGTGTTAATGGTCGAATGTATAGAGTGTGGTTTAATCCACACTAAATTAAATACTGAATTAGTAGGAACAAGCCTACACATATGAAACCCTAAGACAATCACGTAACGCTTGGATTTTTTATCATCAACTTATTGTAGTTCTTCACACTTTAATGTTATTTAGTCCCACTAATTAATAGTTGTTTTATCACTTTGGATTATGACTGAATTTTGTAAATTATCTCTCGCGGCAAATAATACAATATCCTATTTTATACCACCAAAATTTTATTTTCAATTGGTAAATAAATAAAACCATATTTCTCTTCTATTCTCAGAACACTCCTTTATGAAAATATAAGGCATATCCTAGTGCAATTCAAGAAGCTACATCTGTTGTAGTAATAAACAATCTTGTTTATACCCGTCATTTCATTGATCAGAGAATTTCATGTTAGCTATGAAAGTTATCTTACCAAAATCATTAAATTTGCATAACTTTAGATTAAATTATCATATATGTTTTACTGTGCATTTAGTTATCGGTTCAATAATTATTTAAATATTTTTATTATAGTATTTTCTTTTATAAAATTTAAATTTCTATTCAAATATTTTTATTCAAACTTATAAATCAAACAAAACCTTTTTTTTTACCGACAATTTTTCATATTAGAAGACGTTTGATTTATATATTCAGAATTAGTCTTATTTTACGTGTATTTTTTATAAAAAAAAATATTATAGAGAATTATAAATTATTATTCAGAATCAAAAACGAATATAAAAAATAAACGTCTCATTCTCAACCCTCATCAAAAAAAGAAAAATCATAACTATTCCCTTGTTTAATTTTTTACTATTCACTTGTTTAGAATTCAAACAAATGTTAACCGGCAGTTGGGCGAAGAAAAGAAATTATTAAAATTTTGCTAGAATAGTACTTCATGGATAAATATAATGATCATTGTCCGCAAAATAGTAAAGTTCAAGATTGCAAAAAGTGCTCAGAAAAACTAATGCGTACTTTCAAAAGGACAATTATATCCTCAACACCAAAACCATGTCCAATCATCACACGCCACGTCAGTAATCGCAGCCAAAGTTTGTGCTACCCAAGGGGCATGTCCCAAGGTCAGGACTAGGTAGGTCAAAAGGCCTGACTAAACTTAAAAAAAAAACAGGGAGAGAGAGGCCATTTGGTGCACCAAATCTCTGTGCCACCAACCCGACACAAAAAAGTCGCAACTCACAGAAGAGAGAATAAAAAAAGGGTGTTCGGGAAAGAAGAGAAAATCTAGAGGCCACATAAACTTGTGGCTGAGAATCAAATTCACCTGCTGACGTGGCATCCACCTCTCATTTAAACGGATCAAAATCCAAGACCACGTTTAAACTTGTTTGCTCTTACTGCCAACAACATCAACAACAAAGAGAGAGATAGAAAGAAAGAAAGGAAAAAAAAAAAGCAAGAGATTTTCTCGCGCCTTTTCTATATTGCTCTGTTTTTTGGTACTCTGTTTGGTTGCTGGGAAAGATAGAAGGGAAAATAGTACAAAAAATGCTGGAGAGTAAGGACCCGGCCATCAAGCTGTTTGGGAAGAAGATCGCCGTGCCGGCTGACGATGAGGCCCGAGCGGTCTCCGGCGAAGAATTGGCCTCGCAGCCGTTGGAGAAGGAAGATGTAAATGAAGAAGAGACTGAAACGGAGATGAAGGTAAATAATAATTATAATAATAAACTGATTTGTTGAGGTTGTTTATGTGGGGATTTTAGGATGACCCTTTTGTTGAAATGCTGAGAAATTTGGTGGGCTGGTTTTGGTTTTTTCCATTTTTGTAGATTTGGATGCTTGAGAATTGGGATATTGATTTCTCAAGTTGGTTTTTGACTTTTGTTAGCAAATTTTGTTTTTTTTTTTGTTTTATTCTTCTTTTTTGCTCTGCCTGATTTGAGATTAAATTTTGTTTTCTTATTTTTGGAATCCATTTTATTCATTTTTTATTTCTTGAATTCAGAATTTGAAACAAAACATATTTCAAGAAAAAAGCTTTGCCTTTCTCTAATTTTTTTTTTCCCTGTAATCTACTAGTAGCAAACTTATGAATGAAATTGGCCATCAGAAAAGTGATTTTCAGACCCTTCTCTCTCTCTCTCTCTCTCTCTCTCTGTTAAGAGTACTGCTTTTCAGTTGGTACTTATATTCATCTACAACTGCATAACCTGCTTTCTGATCTGCTGCCAAATTGGGGCAGAATTATTAATGACCATCAACCAGTGCCTTTTTCTATTTAATAACAGCTGTTTTCTTTCTGAAATTTTCCCATATATACATATATATACACACATATATATATAATATTTTTCTTACACGCCAGTCAAAATCACCCCCCGACCATCAGCCAGAAGTAAAATTTGGTTTTATTGGAAAAACTGTACAAGGGTTTTTCTCCTGATTTTCTGAACCTTTTTCATTATTAAATGTGACTGATCACTAATCTCTTAACCAAAAAGGGAAATAAAAAAAAACACTTTGTTCCCATAAGTTTTGGTAGTGGGATTCTTCAACTTTCTAGAAATCAACCTGGTTTCATCTCGTCTTAATAATAGCCTTAAAATAAGTCTCAATTTTAGAAATATGAAAAGGACTATTTATGAACTAACTTATAGTTTTCATATTTTTAGTTGTTTGGTCTTGTCATGCTGAATTTAGGCTCATATGTCACACCAGGTTTCCTAATTCATTAAACTGAATATTCAATTTTTGTGAATTCTCAGGATTCTCCACCAAGATCAGCCTCGGAGAACTCGGGACAAGATAGTGATCCGCCTTCGGAGACTGAAGATTCAATAAACCCCGAAACATTACCGGACTCCAGCAATGTCAACCCCAAGACACCTTCCGTAAACGAGGAAAGCGCAAAGTCGAATATCGCGAAGATCGACAATGAAAAGAACAACGCAAGCGCAGCCAACGCGCAGGAGAAAACCTTGAAGAAACCGGATAAAATCCTGCCCTGCCCTCGCTGCAATAGCATGGACACAAAATTCTGTTACTATAACAACTATAATGTCAACCAACCCCGCCATTTCTGCAAGGCGTGCCAGAGATACTGGACGGCAGGTGGGACAATGAGGAACGTGCCTGTGGGAGCTGGACGGCGCAAGAACAAGAACTCCTCCTCGCATTACCGCCACATCACCATCTCGGAGGCTCTCCAAGCTGCTCGAATCGAGGCTGCTCCTCCGAACGGGACACACCCCCACCACCACCACCACCACCACCACCACCACCACCCTGCATTGAAGAGCAACGGCAGAGTCCTAAGCTTTGCCTTGGATGCACCAATTTGTGATTCCATGGCATCTGTTTTGAACCTCACAGATAACAAAAAGGCCCCCCGGAACGGTTTCCACAAAACTGAGGAAAGGGGGTTCCCGGGGCCTTGCAAAGGTAGAGAGAATGGTGATGATTGCTCGAGTGCATCTTCGATTACCGTGTCGAATTCGATGGATGAAGTTGGGAGAAATAGTACTCAAGAACCGCAAGTTCACAACATGAATGGATTCTCTTCCATTCCTTGCATCCCTGGCGTCCCTTGGCCTTATCCTTGGAATTCAGCAGTTCCACCGCCGCCCCCGCCCCCACCGCCCTTTTGCCCTCCGGGGTTTCCCATGTCATTTTACCCCGCGGCATATTGGAACTGCGCGGTTCCAGGCACTTGGAACATTCCTTGGTTTGCCCCTCCACAGCCTTCTTCTCCGAGCCAGAACTCTCCGAGCTTGGGCTCAAATTCTCCGACACTAGGGAAGCATTCGAGGGATGGTGAAATTCTAAAATCAGACAGTTTGGAGAAAGAGGAGCCCTCAAAACCGAAAAATGGATCCGTTCTAGTCCCAAAAACGCTGAGGATCGACGACCCGACTGAGGCCGCGAAGAGCTCCATTTGGGCAACACTTGGGATCAAGAATGATGGAATCTCTGGTGGAGGGATGTTCAAGGCATTCCAATCAAAAAGTGATGAGAAGAAAAGCATGGCTGAGACATCTCCAGTGCTGAGAGCTAACCCTGCAGCCTTGTCTAGATCACTCAAGTTTCATGAGAGCTCATAAAAACTGTTGGCCTAATTCATCAACTCTTTTAAGTTTTGGTGACCATCAATCAACAAGCTTTTGAGTCATCTGATTCAGCTTGATGGGTTGATTAACTTGACTGAAATGTAGAAATGGAAGGAGGATCCAAATAGTTTTATGTCATTTAGGTCCCTCAGCTTGGTGGAGGGAACTAATGTAGGATAAAAGCTTTAGCGGCAGCTAATTTTGTTTTTGTTTTTCTTTTTGTAACAGTATATGCACAGGTGTCTTCTAATATTCTTAGCTTTGCTGGGTTTGTGTTCATGTAAAAATATATTACAATATATGTGAAATAATGTCAGAGAGTTAAAAGAAATATCTTTTTTACATTTTAGAATGAACTTTCCCAAAAATCCCAGCTTTTTTTCTTGATTCTTTGCTCAATAATCAATAGAACTACGTTCAACATCCAAATAGCTAAATTGATGAAAAAGGGTATCCATAAGATAAATAAGGGTTCTATAGCAGTAGGACCTCTCACCCGCATCACATATTTCTAAATATTAGATCATATTAAAATTAAAAAAATGCATTAAAAAATTTATGATACAAATTTGATGGTTGATAAATGAAAACCTAATAGTAGTTTATTTTTTCAAGTTTTATCGTAAAAAAAATCTCGATAAGTAAAATATTTCCTTAATTAAAATTCAGAGTCAAAAATATATACATATATGCTCAGGGAAAGCCAAGAAAGACAATTGTACTAAGCTTATGGTTGAATGATAAAGAAGGGGGTTGTGGGGCTACATGAGACATACCACCAAAGTTGAAGTAGATAAACTTGAATAAAATTCCATTGAGGCCAAGTTAGCTTTCCTTTTCAAACATGAAAAATCCTTACAACTTGCAATAAAGTCATATTGCAATCTCTCCGTTCATGTTCTTTTCTTTTTTTTTTTTTCTCTCTCTCTCCTTGTTCCTTTTTTCTTCTTCCTTCTCAACAATTTATATTATCAGTTGGGGTTTCCAATTTAATATAAAAAAAGGAAGGAAAAAAAAAAGAATAAATCAATGTCAAAATCAATCCCTACCCTTTGATTCCAAGTGCCCCTAGAAATAGGAAAGATCTCTATTATAATTTTTTTTTTTAAATAAATCCCTATTACAATTAACTACCACAGAAATAGCCTATTCTGGGTCTCATCCAAAGAAACTCTCAACACCCTTTTATTGTATTTTTAACCTTTAACCTTTTTCCTGCTTATTTAAGGGGAGAGTAAAGAGTCTTTTTACCAAATACCAAGTTTAGATGTTAACTCATGTGAAAACAATAAACAAGGACTTACTACACTATAATTGAAACCTAAAGTTTAACTAAAAATAAATAAATCATTTTATGTATTCATCTAACTATTTCCGTGATTTATGCATGTATGAATCAACTTTTGGGTTAATTTCTTTTAGAACACAAAAAATGAAAGTATTTTAAGGATTTACCGGTTTTGATTATTTCATTTGCGACACCAACACATTAGATTTTTCTTGTAATTATAATAGTTACCAACAAAATAATAGTGCATTTTATAATTACTTATTAGTGATATAAGAAAACTAACCTTTAACTTTTTTAATTAGGAAAATATACCTTATTATATATGTTATTGTTTGACTGAGAGCCAATAAACTTTCGCTTTTCCCAAGTAGTGACAAAAACGCGGGTGGTTGCTTTTCCATTGATAAGAACGAATTTATATGGATATTTGGATATACACCCTTAATAATTAGTGGATGAATCTACCTCAGTTATTTTGGAGCACTTTCTAGCTATATATATCGGAGTCAGACATGCTTGTCCACAACCAACTAGCAAATAAAGTCTCTCTCTCTCTCTCTCTCTCTATATATATATATATATATATGTATATGTATATATTATATAATATATATAAATCAAGTAGGAAATAAAAAAAGGCCCAGATATTTTGTTGTTATAAGCAAATACAGGCCACATTTTATGCATGAGATGAGTTGGTATGGGCCCCCAAGTGCACATAATGCCATGAATCCTTTTGGCACTCTCTTGCCTTTTGCTTTCTTTTCTTTTGCTCTTTTCTTTTAATGGGAAAGCCGAAAGCAATTGCTCACTTCTTTTCATCCATATGCCCAAATTTCCATTCTGTGGAGGAAAACTTACCAAAATATAAGTGCTAATTTTCTTATCAAGTTTCACATGAAGATCCATGGCCATTTTTTATTTGGATCCTCAGACTTTGTTCATAATTAGTATTTGCCTCTACTTATGTAATCTGAAACTTTGAAATCAACCTTAAATGCTATTGGAATTTGGAGTGCAACTACTGGATACTAATGGGTCTTGAGTTCTTTTTCTAAGAAGTGGCAATCTTGAAACTAAAATGAAATATTGTGGTCCGTTTATTAAAGAATGGAAAGAAATTATCAAAATAACTAGTTGAGCCATTTTCCAGGCCACACGCAAAAAAAAAAAAAAAAAAAAAAAAAAAAAAAAAAAAAAAAAAAAGTTGTATTGGTCATTATATTGCAAACAACACTAACAGGTTCAGCAAGAGTGAAATAAAATAACAGGTTCAAAGAACAAAAGAAAACCCCGCTAAGGGGTCCAAAGCAAAAAAGAAAAACAAGACTAATAAGAGGGAGTTTATGAGTTGTCCTTTTCCAATAAGCTATGCACGGCTAAGATGAAGCTTAGGAAAAAAGAAAACAAAAAGGACTAGCACAAAGGACATATTTACAAATGTCAATGGATAACTCGTTCAGTTCTATAACAATTCACGTAAAATTGATATTAATCGTCATTTAAATAAGAAGCGATCGCGTCACTCATAATTATCTTCGATATAATTCAAAACTAGAATGCTAAGAATAATCACTAAATTTATGACCGTCCAAGCGCGGTCTTTTTAGGGTAGGACCCGCAGGGTTACGCTTGATGGCATTGCAAGCTACAATACCAACATGGAGTACCTAATTGTCATTCGTCCAATAGACCATTCATCTATCCACGGTCCGCCTCAAGGCTAATCCAACAGCCAGCAAACCCGAGCAGGGAATTTCACAAACGATTGAATTGGTCTAAAAAAGTTAACAGAAGTACTTCTTCTGCCATTTTCTGCCGTGGCCTAATATCATTTTTCACTAAATATCGATCTGCTAAGCTGCACTTGATGCCATATGACATACCCGTGAGTCTATATTTTTTGTATTCAATACTATATATGGTACAAAGGTAATATTGCCTAATGTGGCTTCAAATCTTCAATTTCAAACCAAAACCAATAAGGGTGAGCACAAAATCTTTATCTCACAACTAATGCAACTAGTGTTGAAACTTTGGACCGGCGGCCCTGCCCGAAGCCCGAATTTTTTGGGCTCAGCGGGCAGGCCCAAAAGCCGGCCCATTCAACTCTATTTTTCGGGTTCAGGCTCGGGTTGCTCGAAAATGGACAATTCACCGGAGCTCGCCGCCGTGATATCGCCATCAACCGTTATCCGCCGGAATTTTTTTAAATTTTTTCACTCAGACCCGAACGGCCCGAATTGCCCAAAGCACGAGCCCGACCAACGGATATAGTTTTGACCGTTGATGCCCGACCCGACTCGAAGCCCCAATCCAACGACTCTTTTTTTTACCGTTGCCCGATTTTCGGTCCAAACGCGCCCAAACCCGACCCGCCGAGACAAAAATAACCGTTGGATCCGAATTGGGGAAAAAATCAAATTTTTAACCCAAAAAGTTTCCTATAAATACCCCCATCCCCCACACATTTTCCTCACCCAAACTCTCTCAATCCCTCTCAATTTCTCTCAATCTCTCTTAATTTTTCTCAATCTCTCTCAATTTCTTAAATCTCTCTCACAATTTTTCTAAAAACTATCACAATATCCTAAAGCTCTCTCTCTCAAATCGCTCTTATTTTTTATAATTGATTCTTTTGGTTATAATGGTATTCCCGTTGATGCCCAACACAACGTGGAAGAAGGACAATTTCTCACTAATGAATTTATTACGTAGAAATCTGTTAATCCGAGCCCTAATGGACGTACATGAGGTCGTTGTCGCAATGGTAGTGGGTGTGGAGAAGCGGCGAGTACAAGGGCTACTGCGTCTGCAAGTGTTGCAACCTCCAGGAGGAAATGCAATCGCACCTCAACAATTTGGGATCATTTCGACACAATTGAGGAGATCGACAATGAAGATGACACTAAACATATAGCTCAAAAAGCAAATCCCAAATTAAAAATAAAAAATAGTTGCAAACCAACTTAAATCGTGCACTCCACGTTAATCATGATTCATGACACTTAATTAAATTTAGCCAGAACAAGTCCTAGGTAAACACGGTTCAAACATCATTTTCCCACCACTAAGTTAATGATCAATACTAAATTCATGCCATCTAATTGGTTCACATTGTATACACATACAATCGAACATTGAAAGAATGTTCCTTTAATTTAGTCTGTAGTTTTGACCTTTTTTTACCCTTTTATCTTAATGATAAATTTATGCCCATTTTGGCTTTGGTGCCACTAATTATTTAATGTTGACTTTCTTGTGGAAAGTAACACTATCATTGCAACTCAGAGTTAACCCCCACTATAACTTATCTCCTAACCTATTTAAGTGGTTTTCATGTTAATTAAAATTGTGGACGCAACTTTGTGGATCAATTGCTGCATTATTCCCCGGACATTGTTTCATATTGTGTTTTTGGTTCAATTTCCACAATCCACTTAAGATCTCAGCCATTTGACTCTAAACTAACCACTTTCTTTAGCTAATTAAAGTTGAGTTTCAAAACCATAATTGAAAATTGATTCAAAGAGTTTTAAGGTAGATATAAAGTTGCTTCATTTATATAAAGTTTTGACTTGTGACGAAGTCAACAAGGTTAGTGAACCATGACTGTTTGTCTCATATACACATATACATAAAATATTACATATGTGTACAATATATACACATGTATATATGTATTAGTACATACATACATATATATATATATATGGATATACATATATGTGTGTATGTATGTGTATATGTAAATAGCTTACAAGGTGGGACAAGTGGTAGAGACACCAAAAGGGTTTCAATGAGGACAAAAAAATAAATAAAAAATCACGTTCTACTATTCCTCATCTAACATATAGAAATGCTTTAAAAACAAAAGAAAAATCTGTCGTTCAGAAGAAAAGCGTGTTTAAAAGGAGAGTGTGGATGCAAAAGCTTTGCTTTTTCCTGAAAAGCAAGAAAAAGATGAAACAGACTCCCAACCTTTTCTTTTCTTTTATTTCCCTTTTATTTGCTCCTTTTCCTTTTTCCCTCTATGGCAGTGGTAGACTAATCAGAAAATCACTAAAAAGCTTCTCCATTTTTGAAGAGATATTAATAAGGGTGTAGTAAATGGAAGTAGATATCTTTACTTGCGTTTGAACTTCATTTATAATCTAGTGGCTCTAAGTTAAGGACATCAAAAAGTGGGCATTCCAACATGTATAATTTCAATCCATGTGTTTTAAAAAGGTGGACTTGGTTGTGAAGTTGTAGGAAGGTAACAACAAAAGAAACCAAAAAGAAGAAAAAAAAGGGGGGAAAAGAGAGAGAAAACAAAAGAAATTACTCTACGAATTTGCAAGTAAATTATTCTTATTGGTTTTTTTTTTAAGCTAAACTATACCCTTATGTTCATGCAACATTCCCCTTAATTGTCACCCTTTTTCTGGGGAAATAAAAGAAAACAAGGGGATATTATAGGAACCCCCATTTACAATATCTGTGGCCCTGCTGTGCTATCCATAATTTCTCATTGAGGTCTCTCCTTGAGGTCGAACAAAATATGTTATTTTTAACAGGAAAACTAATGCATCGTTACAATTGTTTAGAAAAATTTTATTTTTCATCAATTGCAAAACAATTTCCAATTGGTACATTTTTCAAATTTGGAAAAAAAAAAAAAAAAAAAAAAAATTTCTCGGTACACTTTAATATTAGTTGTACTCTTAACTTATTTATGAGGAGAAACCTCTGCCTATGATGGTGCTTATAGTGATTCATCCAAGGGAAAAAAATTTGTGATGTTTAATTTCCATTAATGGATTAGAACTTGAAAACAGTTTGACATACAACGAAAAGTTGTGACTTTTCATCAACGTATGGTCTTGAATACAAAGAATATGGCCATGAAAAGACCCTTCATGCAGATTTCTCAAATCAATTTAATAATTGAAGGTAATCATTGACAATTCCCTGCATTGGTACAATTGTAATATATCTATAAGTTATAACTTGAGACAGCAGAGTTCTAAGTTAATCAGGAATATGAATTTTTACTCTCCATGAAAGGTCAATAACTTAATCCTATAAGATAATAGCTTAAACCTGGTTATTGGATTCTACAACCGCCCGAGTCTTGTGGGCAGCGAACGTTGCCATAGGCTGACAGCTCGAGAAGATCCATGTCTCGACCTGCATTTCATCCAAACCAATTAAACTGTGTTCACTTAACAATCAGATGGAATCATCTCACAAATGAGTTCAAGACGGTCTTAAGGAGTCCTTTTGGAATACCTGACACTCGACAGTAAGAACTTTTCTGAATAAGTTCAGCCCTAGACAGCTCAGTCCGATTTCCCTTCGACCGATTAACTGTTGCCTGCATGACATGAGAGACATTTTTTTTGCTTAATGAAAAAGATTCAGGTAATATAGTACAGTTTAAATAATCTATATTGGTGGTCACATTAGAAACATGTTTTCTTTTCCTAGTATAATGGTCCTAATTGTAGTAAGTAGTAGTAAATCGAGACAACAAAAAATGATTTATCCGGATAAACTGCGGTACAGATTTAGGCGTAATTAACTGAAAGTAAAAGGATAATAACTTCACGTGTATTATTATTATTGTTAAGAGTATGGTGACCCGAATTCTATTTGGTCCGGCCCGTTTTCGGTGCGACATTTGTGGTGGAGCTTTAATTATGAAATTTTTGGGGGTCTTTGGTGGTATGGACCTGTTTTATTATGTGACGTTGTATGGTTAGGGTTTTTTATTATTATGCTTTTGCTGTAGCCGCTCAAACACTCCTCTCTTGTACCAATCTTTTGATGTAGTGGATTTCTTCTCCTCTGTCCGTGGTTTTTTTGCCGTCTTGGGTTTTTCACGTTAAATTTATGTGTTCTTATTCTGTTTTTCTATTGCCTATTTACGTTATTTTATAACAATTATTATTATTATTATTATCATTGTTGTTGTTGTTGTTCTTATTCTTATTATTATTATTCTTATTATTCTTATCATTATTGTTCCATGGAAGCAAGTTAGTAACTCTCTCCCATCTACAACATAAACCCAATTAAATGTTTTTGTCCGGGAATAGATTAGAAACTAGGATGAAAACTATCCCTTAACTTACAACTGTCCTCTGGACATTATATTAACCTGAGATATTTGGTTTCTTGCGGTTGTGAAAGCCTTACTAGATATATTAAGGCAGAAAGAGTTTACAACTGTCCTCTGGACATTAAATTAACCTGAGATATTTGGTTTCTTGCGGTTGTGAAAGCCTTACTAGATATATTAAGGCAGAAAGAGTTCCTTTGAAAACAAAGATAGACGCAAGTCAAGTCGAACTAGGATTCTGTGGACTCTCAAGTATCTATCAGAACTTCTTTTGGACAGGCAACAAATATCAAGAGAAGATAGAGTGAAGGGTAAAAGAAAAGGGAGCAGTGTTTCCCTTCCCCTATCTATTCATGTGTTTAACAAATGCTAATTTGGTGGGGCCCACATGACGAGCAAATTACAATGTAGAGGTTGAGGAAAGGGATCATCAATGCTAAGACACCCGGTAGTATTGTTTCTCTTTAGAATAGAACAAACCACGTAAATACGTTTGTACCCTTTCGAAATTTTAGTCCATAATTATATGCACAATGACATTTTAGTACCTCAACTAGTAGGATTCCTTTTCCTAAACACAAGAAAGAGAATTGGGTGGTTTCTAATTCCACTTCCTAATAGATAAATAAACACTACAAAGGAAATCAGTGATCCCCTTTCCTTTCCAAAACCCTTCCCTTTTCCATTAAATCTCATTAAATTTGAGTAAACATGCCCTAAAGGCTAAATCTTCTATAAAGCGGCGAAACAACTAATAGGCACAAGACATGAGTCAATACATTATTGCATGTAATATGACGTTATGTTGCTTAAAGGTGAGATTCTCATGATGGACTTGTTAGGGCTGAAAAAATGGGCCTTAAAAATTTCATTAACATATCGTAACAGATTTTCTATCAACAAAGAGGCCTGGCAAGTGCATTGTTTTCCCGCTCCGTCACTAGTCGTAATATAGAAAGAAACCTAACTATATTTGTCTTAGTTATCTTAGTTGTATGTTATCAACTCCAGTTTTGAACAAAATGAGTAAGCTAATCAAACAAAGAGATAAAGCCACTATTTAGAGGTTGTAAGATAAGATGTATACATAAATTATTTGCATGAAATTCATGTGTGTCCGATGGGTATGGATTCGTAAACCAAGCTATAAGATAAGAATATTGGTACGGGAAAAAATGAAAAAATCAATTGCATACCTGTAGAACCTGACAGTTCTCCAGGGTACCTGGTCCGCCCTGAAACAAAAAGATACACAAGTCAAGCCTAACGTAGCATTCCCAGCCCCTATGGAGAAGGACGGACGGACAAAAATTTCAATTTTCAAGGCTAGTAAAATCCAGTAACACAATTAGAAAAGTTTAGGGTCCTTTATGACATGCACAGCTGAAACATAAGCAGAACACTGAAGGTGAAGGTTGACAAAGGGCAGCAGAAGACGCTACTAAATTGGAGAGGAGTTTGCAGGCTCATCATGCCTAAACTAATACAACAGGGAAATTGATTCTAAAGATATTAGATTCCAATTGAAGGTTTCCACATGAACAGAAAGTGTTTTATTAAGGCAATACCTCTATATTTACATCCTAAAATTATATATAGCAAAACAGGTTTGCAATGAGAATCAAGTCCATGAGTCACGCCGGCTCTTGGGTGCATAAAGTTTCTAGTTTCGGCCTCTGACCAAGTAAGGATATAGTAATACTCGAGACTAGTTTCTACGTCTTTTGAAATGCAGAAAACATCAGACACTGTCTTCCTCTTAAAATTTAAAATACTACCTATTGCACACAAATATTTTTTTCCCCTTTTATTCAACGGATCATATTTTATATACAAAAGTGTGTGAATTTGCAAAGTGAAAAGGACAATCTGGCATGAATTCCCCAACCAAAGACTATCCTCTGACACTGAGGGGGTAACAAGCAAGAAATCGAAATCCTATTTCCATTCACGCACATTCACAGCATAGATATAGATCCGGAACATAGAGGAACAAATAGATGAAAAGGAAAACAATTATTATAACCAATGAAACAAAATAAGTTATAAACCTTTGAGTAAGGTATAATGTGATCATAATCATGGCACAAACAACCGGGGCAGCCCACGAGCTTCCGGAACACAATGTTGCCGAGAGCATCACGGCGCCACCTATCTGGATCTCGCCCTTTGATCTTTTCTGCCTTCTCCCAACATTGCTGCTTTACACTGTACGGAAAACTTCGAGGGTTGAGATTGGAACTGGAGTTGTTGAGGTCTTGCGAGACAGAGAGCTCTTCGAGGAGAGTAATGTCATCAGTCACTAGGTCTCGGTCCAGAAGAGACACTCCGGGCATGGCAGTGCGTGACCTGGGAGACCTTTCTTCATATCTAGAAGGGGCTGTAGTCTTGTCCTTGATTGGTGATGAGGGTCGGCTTCTTCTCTTTGACTCCTTTCTTGGTCTCATCTCACTATCTTCCTCTGTGCTAATGATCAGAGTTTTGAATTTGATTAAATAACAAAAGATTTATTACCTTCTCTATTCAACATAAACTTGTCTTTCATGGGTTTGAATTACAATTCTCAATTTGAACAGGACGTCTAATCTAGATTAGTGTTTTGGAGTAAAAAAAATGAGTGTGGTTCAGATTTCGAAAAAGGGAATAGAGAATTGTGGTTCAAACACGCGAACCAAACTGGTGAACCCACTCGAAAAAGGTTGACCATTATTCCCCAGCTAGCACTTTACAGGCACATCGTGATACTCATAGGTTGTTCATCTTTAGTGTTTCCCTCTATTGATCAAATAGTTTCTTTTTATTGTTTGAGTTTCATGGATACGAGTGAATTCAGTGCCTTTTAATGCTTTTAATGGTTGGGACCAAATAATGGATTGAAGCATTAAAAGGTCTCCATTTTTTTTCTGTCAGACATTATAACAAACAGTAAGTCTGCCATTTAGAGAAGTTATAATAAGTTAAATAAAGTTGAACTAGGAAACTAGACAGTCTCAAGTTCATAGATTTGATACTCAACACAATCAAAACTACGTACCTCAAAAAGGAAAAAAAAAAAAATGGTACACCAATATTGTATTAAGCTTAAAGGGGTCAAATTTGTATTCTCATTAAAAATAAAAATAAAAATTTGAAAAAAAAAACCCACAAACCCCATCTACATTTTCTCCTCCCAACTGTTCCTAATCACCCAAATGAGGCCGAAATCAATGACCCAGGTAAGAAACGAAAAGCAAAACAGAAAAAGCTTAGTGGGTTTAAGGACTTACCCGTTGCAGAGCTGAAACTGGGTAATCTGAGAGAGTCCTTGGGCAGAAGAGAGCGAACTGAGAATTGGGTAAGAATAAGATTGAATATTTGAGAAGATGGCGAGAAGAATGATGAGGCCTCGCCGGTTAATGGGTAAGATTGAAAGTTTGTGAGAATTATTATTATTGTTATTATTTGGTGATTGAAGGTGAGATAAAAATGGGTGCTTTGGAGAAGATGTAGAAGAAGGGGATTTTAGAGAGGAACAGATTACAAGCATTATGGCGGGTCTTTGCTTAAAAAAAGGATGAAAACCAAAAATAATTTCACCATGGATTTCTGATCACCTCACTTTATCCATTTGTGGGGAAAACGACACCCTTTTGGATGTAAAACGACACACTTGTAATTGTTGTTACGTTTGGCATTTCTAGTTTTTTTTTTTTTTTTTTTTTTTTTAAGGAGAATGGATGCTAAATCATGTTAAAAATCTTCACAGAATAAATATTATAACACCGGTTATAAAACGAAAGGGATAGTTTTAACATGTTTGGAAACATAAGGAATAAAAATAATAAATATGAAAACATAAATCAAGGCGCAGTATTTCTATAAAACAAAAAAAAAAAAAATTGATTTCATCCTAAATTATCATACTTGCCACAAAAATGTTAGGATGGTTAAAGTATAATTTAGGAATTTGGAGGTAAATGGAGGGTTTTATAACCCTCTTTTTAGTAAATGATTCACCTTTTTCAAATTAGGTAAATGGCCGCACTAATTTAATGTTAATGTGGCGTTTGGTTCATAGGTTCAGAATCATAGTTCATGATTCTAATTTTTGAAATTTAAATTTTTTGTGAGAGAAAAATACTATAACAAACTAAGAATCATGATCTAAAACCATGCCAAAACTCTCAAAATAAACGGAGCATAAGTGATTAATGTGATTTAAGACACCCCAGCTTGCGCATTGCCCCTTATCATCAAGCCGCAGGGGAGGACGTATATCAATCTCCTCCGGCACGAGATCTTGTAAAAAAAGGGAGATCGAAGGAGATTTGCCCTACGCGCGGTGCTGGGGAGGTCAGAAATCTCCTCCGGAACCCACCATTTTATGATTGATCTAAATTTGTCCATGTAACAATGAATACCATTTTAGGGAGAGTTATTATAGAGTTACTTTTAAAATGTCATGTTTCTCTAGTTAGTTGTCGCTCCATTAATTAATTTATCTCTAATCTTAAGATTACAAAAAGAAGCCAAAAAAAGGGAAAGAAATTATTTTAGTTTTGTATACTTTTTAAAAGAAAAAAAAAACACTTTTAGTTTAGTATACTTGATTTTAGATAGATGTGGTTGCAATTTATTTCTCTCTCGTACTTTATTCTACTTGAATTTCACCGAAATCATACACAAATTGGCTCTTCATTGAAAGGACTTTGTAGCTTGGATTAAATTACAATAATATCAAATCCAAAAACAATAATAAAATGGATATCAATGCAACTACATATATATGTTGATGAGTTTTCAATAATTATGTTTTCATCAATAGTTACCTTTAAATTTATAAATTTTATGACGTGACCTGATGAAAATTCAATATCATTAATTGTCATTAAGTTTTAGTCCGTTAATCAATTTATTATAACCGTCAGATTGATATTTTAAGGCTAAAATAATAATACACATTGATGAGTAAATATTAGAGCAATTGCAATCAGAACAAAAAATAAAATCATATATGTATATATATACATATATTAATATAAGAGGAGGGAGAATGCCACCACTTTAAAATGGGGCTCAGAGTAACTCGAACTCTCAATCTATAATTAGAATGAAGGGACTTAAACCGAATCAAATCGTTAATTATTTTTAAATTATTAGTTAGTTTGACCAGTTTTTTAATCTATTTTTTATGAGATTTAAGATCGTTTAGTTCGCTGATTCGAATTGAGATGTGACTTTATGTGAGAGCTTTTTACTGTTGTAAAAAAGTTAAATGTGACTGTTTCTGAGAGCTTTTTACTATAACAAAACTCGAATCGGTGAAATGAACAGAGTCTTAAGTTGTGGTTTGGAATCTCAAAACCACCCAAACCGCTCAATAATCTGCTAAAAAATATACATATATAATTTTTAATTTTTAAAATGCTTTTATATTTATTTTAATTTTTATTTGTCATAATTAAGATTCTACACTTATAAAATGCACCATATCATATTTTTATTAGTTTGTATTAAAACTTTAAATGGTAAGCTGTTAGAGATTTGCTACTTTTGAGTTATATTGTAAACTTGACTCTTATTTTTATTTTTATTGATTAGCGATTTTATAATTTTTATGAATTATTAAAAATTTCTGTACTCTTAAGTTTAAACCGCTCAAACCAAACTGCCTAAATTGCTTATGAGTGATTTAGTTTAATTTGATTTTTATCAAAAATATCAAATCGCCCCAAAGAAAAAAAAATATTTTTAATTTAGTTGGTGGTTTCTAAAAAAAAAACTGTCCAATTCAACTGCGAACACCCCTACTTTTATTCATCCAATGCCGTGCGACCGATGAGTTAAAGCCCCCCTCAACATTTCATTTAAAGATAAAATCATTTTAGTATCTCATGTTATAACGAAACATGTTTTTAACATTTTGTATTTTTAATAATATTAAAATGATATTTTAATGTTCTTAAAAATATTTGAAGCTGATTTTGACTAAACATTTGTAATAACTATTAGCCCATTGTGGATAATCGAATTATTTAATAATTATTTACTTCGGCTAAACATTTATAATAATTATTACTCCTTCGAGGAAAACTCCTGACTTCATCTTTGCGTGAGACACGTTGCAAGCAGCATGTCACACACGACAATCCAATTAGTTTCACTTGAATACAGAAATTTCTATGCAGTTTACAAGAAATTGAGTACATCAATTATAAAGGACTATAGTTCGGTCAAGCAAGAAAATAGGGACGACTTTTTGTGAACCTGCTATGTCCTTTTTAATTATGCGTAATTTTGAATGGACGTGCTACAAAATAACTTAGAAGTTTCCAAGATGACTAAAAAGTCTTTGGAACAAAAATTTAAAATGACATTTTATGGTACGTTAATATATTAGTAGGTTAAGTTTTTTGTCTGTTAAATTTGTATAAAATCACGTAAAAGTCAAAAAATACGTAGATCTAATGGTTAAATAAATTTGACCTATTAATACGCTAAAAGTACCACATAATCTCCTAAATTTAAAAATAGTGCAAGTGTAAAAGGGAGAATTACGTGGCAATGTATGAAAAAACACCTATTGGTATGACACATTTTTAAACCAGCAAATCATAAAATAAAAAATATTAGATCGAGTTGGATGACAATTTAATAAATTTTAAATGAAAATCTGTCATTTGAGATCCTATTAGTATAATAAAAAAAGAGAGTAAATTGAAGAGGTGTGAAAATATTATTGTACAAGTTTTAAACCGTTAAATTATTATATTGGATCAAGAAAAATATGACAACTTAACATAATTTAGAGAAAAATTTGGCGGTTAAAAATTGTGTCATACCCGTATAATGATCTAAATGAAAGAGAAAGAAGAGGAAGTTTATCATCCGATCCAGCACTGGTTGAATCCAATATGATGTTTGTGCCTGACGTTTGGAATTTAGAAATGTAAACTACTCCCGTTTTGGTTCATGGATTAGAACCATGTGATTAGAATTATTTTCGATTTACGTATATTTTTTATAAGAGAAAATACTGTAACGAACCACGAATCATGATTTAAATCAGAAAATGAATCCCTTTACCAAACGGGCTATCTAACGAGAACTTTCTTTTTTTTTTTTTTTTTTTTGGTAAACACATTTTCTTCTCATTTTCCAAAACGACTTAATAACGATGACCGTTGACTCATAGGCATATATATACGCACTTCTAAATAGCTAAAAAAAAACACCTGGCCCTTCACAACTCCTTTCCTCATAAATTCATAATTTTAGACGCACCATGGGGAATATTGCAAGGGTCAAATTTCCCTTCTCCTCTTCAGTAGCTGAAATTCCAGTCTTGGTAATGATCATACTCGTCCTTATACTTCTGCAACTATATTTACATTTCCTAAGTTCTCAATTACGCAATGTTTGGGTCGTAGACGATGATCAAAAGAAGCTATCGAGAAACGTTAGTCTTCCGAAAAAGATTGATAATGAGAAGAAACTGTGTATAGAGGAAGTGAAAGATGCTATGGAGAAATTAGCCGAGAAAAACTTGTGTGATGAGGAGTTGTTTGAGGAAGAAGTAAGCTTGGAGGAAGTGAGAGAAGCTTTTGATGTGTTTGATGAGAACAAAGACGGGTTTATTGATGCAGGGGAAGTGCAGAGAGTTCTTTGTGCATTGGGTTCCGTGGAAACTTCGGAAAAAGATTGCAAATCCATGATTAAAGCTTTTGATAGAGATGGAGATGAGAAAATAGATTTCAAGGAATTTGTTAAAATCATGGAAGACAGCTTCCGCTAAAACATCGCAAAGAAAACAAAAAACAAAAAACAAAAAAAGTTGCTTGTTTTTTGGGATTTGGCTTGTTCAATCCTGCGTGTTTCTTCATTTTTTTTTTTCTTTTTGCTGCTTCTTCAGTAAAAACTGTTCTTTTTCAACACTGGTAGGTATTGCTTTTTCAGCCTTGACACGCTACAAATTTTTAACTTTTACATTCATATATCAAACTATGAAAGATGAATTTAATAGTTAAAACAGCAGTTTCTATCAGTAGCAGCGTAAAAGGACGGTCACTATTGTAGATATATTTATTTTTTGTTTTCAATATATGTATTAATAATTTAAAGTCGAAAGTATGTATGCTTTTGTTTAGTGATCATTTGTGGAAAGACCACTTGGAAGCCTTTGTGTGGAAACACCACTGGGATGACCTCTTGGCGGGGGTCTTTGTGCAATTTTTTCAATGCAAAAGGGACCGGAAAAAAATGCACATCCTATTTGTTATCAGTTTTGTATTTTATAGTTCTATTTAGTCAGTTGGGAATTTTCTTTTATGAGAGTAATAGTGAACAGAAAACGAACTGAACATCTGAAGCAGAAGAGCATCCAGAGCAAATATATATCTATATATATATATATATATATAAGCAAAGAAAATATATAAATGAAACCAAGGACAATCCTATGATGTCTGTACAACAAAAACATAGAAATGTTGCCCAACATACAAACAAGAGACTATCACGTGAGAAGGAAGGAAAAAAAAAAAAAAAACATGATAAGTTCATTTGAATGAAACTCTATGAAGGACAGACTCTGCCTCGTCAAAATACTATCTATGTCGTAGAGTCGTCCCAACAAATAGTAATTTTGTCCCAGTCCGGCAAATTGATGTCACTCTCAGATGTGATCATAGCCGTGAATTGCTCGCCGGTCCATTGTGATGCTGAGAAAGACGAAGTGTCCGGTGGTCTGCCGACGAAGGCGCCAGCGGAAGCTGCTTCTTGACCAACGTCGACGTTGTTAGAGTTGAGTATAGTTTCCTTCTTTTCATTTAAGTAAACCTTGCAAAGTAGCCAATCTCCCAACTGATCATGTAGTAAACAAAAAGATTAGTTGTTATAAATTAAAAGGCCATGATATCAAACAAAACAAAAAAAAATTTATTGAAATTTAAAGTTTAATTAACGATTATCCTCATTTGCGTCATTCAAACTTTAAGGTCATTCCCATTTTAGCCTCTAAATTTTAAAAACTCTCATTTTTCCTTCAAATTTTGGATTAGTCTCTTTCTCCCTAATAGAACTATTGTTAAAAAATATATATATGTGAAAAAGGGTTAGTGTGGTCATTTAGTATTCCCTTTAGAATGTTTGTTAAAACACCGAAAAATAACTACATGACCACACTTAACTCCCTTCTTTTTTCCTCTATTTTTAACATAAATAAATTCTAAGAACATCAATTAAGTGTGACTACTTGAAAACTGATCAAAGGCCAAAGTGACATTTTTTTTTTAAATTTAGAGGTAAACTGAGAATGATTTAAAAATTCACGTAACATGATAATTATCACCCAGTTAGTTTGTAGTTCGATCATATAGCATTTTGGAATAGTATTGTTATTGATTAACATGTACATAACAATATATTAAAAGAAATTCAGAAAGCAAGTAGGGAGTTGAAAAATAAAAGGATGGAAATTGTAGTAAATAGTAAATTTTTGAAACTAAATTAAGTAACAGATTTTAAAATTATTTGAAATAAATAGTAATTTAATGTATAAATATTTTATTTACGATTGAAAAAAATAATTTACGTAGTAAAAAAATATGTATTCACATGAAAATTTTTTTTTTTTTTTTTACCAGTAGTGAAAAGAAAATTTACATGAAAAATATATATTTACTAATTGTAAATTAAAAATTTATACGGTAAAGCTTTAAAATTTACTATTTACTTAATTTAGTTTAAAAAATATACTATTTAATTTAGTTTTAAGAATTGCTATTTAGTTTTAATTTAGTTTCGAAAAAGAATTAGAAAAATATGACTCGTCATCTTATTGACTAGTTTGTTGACCAAGATTCATTCAACAACTATATTTAGGTTTTACATGAAATATATCCAATCAAGAAACCATTTTCAAATCGCCAATGGAAGACATCTCAAACCAAGCAAACGTGAAAAAAAAAAAAAAAAAAAAAAAAATTAGAAAGGAAACAATGCAGAATCAGCTATATATGTTCTCATGAAGATCCAATAATAAGAGAAAGAAACCAACCAAAAAGACATAAAAGTGCCAAAATATATACACACACGACAAGATCCTATAATATATTTGCAGTCGGATTATGATATATTAAGAGAAAAAAAAAAAAAACAAAACCAAAAAACGACATAGAAACGAGAAAAGATTGATCGAACATGCAAACCTTTGAGTTTTTCAGGAGTGTAGTTATAAAACTCGAGTTCTTAAAATTTGTTGGTGGGATCTTGAAAATGCTCGTTCATGACTTTGTTAGCTAAATAGTAATGGACCAATTCTATGTCAGGAAGGCAAAATCTAATGCCCATTGAAAAAGGATTCACGGGTGTGATCTCCGTTGCACTCTCGAAATTAAATGAAATGCTCCGTTCATTTCATCAATTCGAGTTTTATTATACTAAAAAAATTTTAAAAACAGTCACATCTAATTTTTTTGTTACAGTAAAAAACTCACATAAAGTCACATATCAGCTCAAATCAGCGAACTAAACGGGCTAAAAATATTGAAAAAACTAATTTTTGAAATAGAAATAGGTAAGAGAAAATTATGATGAGTGCAAATAATAAGTATGGCGGTATATATTTATGAAGAGCTAATTTGTTTGTATCCTATACTGTCTAGAATTCGAAAACCATACCAATTCAATTAAAGCATTACATTTTTAATTAAAACTTGCTTATATATTGATAATGGATTCCCACGTAGCTTCATGTTTTATTTATTTATTTATTTTTACTTCAAATGTATTTTTTAACTAAAAATAATTTTAAAAAGTTGAAAGATAAATTTATAGCTAAATATTTATAATTAATCACAATTTGTATTTAGTAGCAAAAACTTTAATACTTAAATTTTGACATGAAAAAATTAAGGTAAAAGATTTAATACATAACTATTTTTAAGAATTGTTGACAGAAGAGGAAAAATTTTACCGAAAAATGTTAAAGCTATGTAACGAAAAATGTTTTGTCATTACTATTATTCAAAATTATTTATAATTAAGATTTTCAAAAAATTAAAAGAATATGAAAAACTTCATTAAAGGTCATTGCTATACGACATCATTAAAGGTCATTGCTATACGACATGTAGTTTCAACGCATCCTAAAATTTCCAAATTCCAATCCCAAATCAGTCTCTTTATCCATACCTCTCATAAATCATTTTGCCCCCATGAATTAGTTCATACCAAATTCCCAAAAAATCACTATAATTTTTCTCTTTCATCATCCGGAAAACCCTAAAATTGGTGTGACAATTTTTCCAAAAGAACGCCTTCTATCAGTGGATTATGCTAAACACTACCCGTGCCTACAGCATTACTCTAATCGAATCGGCCGTTTCACTGAGCGGAGCTTCTTCAAACCATTATTACGTACAGCAACGAAAATACGACAAAATCCTAAAAACGACATCAAAAGAAAATAAACAACAACATTATTAAAATTAATATATATACACACACGGTATTACCAAAAAAAAAAAAAAGTTTTTATTGATAAACAAAAACGGCGAACAAAAATTAGAATTAGGTACTAATTTCTAAAAAAAAAAATGTACGGTTGAACTTTTATAATATACTAGCAATTTAAGGACTAAGAAGGTTAAAAATCTTGTTTTTCCTTTACGTCGAGAAAACGGTATATAGTTTCAATTGTAACTTTTGTTGTCCTTAATTTTTAAATGGTTTCATGTCGTTACCATCAATTTTTTTTTTTTTTAACTTTTTCATCTTGTTAAAAAATTGAATAAAAGACGTACCCCCCAAAAAAAAAAAAAAAAAAAAAATCTAAACAACATGGTTTTAGAATATTGCTCGCAGCCTCGCACTTATTAATTTGATGCCACTAAAAAATCAATCTGCTCTTGTTTCTTAGGAAAACGAACGAGAAACTCTAATTTAAATTTGACAATTTTGAGAATTTATTATTTGAAATTTTTAAACAACATTAGATTGAAACTATTATTCTTTGCAAAATAACTCTAAGGTTAATTGGCAAACAAAATTTGGCGAACCCACTTGAGTATTTCTAGAATTACTAAACATATATAAATATGTATATACACACACATACACACGTACATATGTATGTGTATATATATACATATACATATACATATATATATGTTTTGGAGCTTTCCGAAATATGGCTAAAAACTAAAAAAAAGTTTTTTTTTTTTTTTTTTTTTTTTTTTTTTTTTTTTTTTGCAGAAAATCCATGAGTAGTCAAGCAGATTACGAACCAAGAAGATTACACTAATTATATACTAGTCACAATGGTTGAATGGAGTAGTTCATACCTACCAATACATTAACAGAGTGGCTCTTTCTAATTTGTCATAAAAAATTAAAATAAAAAAACTACTACAGATTGCCTGATCTAATTTGTCCTGATCTAAGCAAAATCAAAATCAAAACAACTCAGAAAGGAGGACAAGCGGGAAAAAATATCAAGCAACTTCTGACGACATAAGACATAGCCTAAACTACGTATTTGATAATCAAAATCTATGATAGGCCTCATTAAAAACCTTGCTAGTAAACCTCACAGGGAGAAACCTAACAAGGGAAAAAGAGTGCCTATGCTTGAAAAGTATACATAATACCCGCAAATCAACGAAACCTATAGTAACGCTTACTAAACCTAAGACTGTTACATAAAAATAAAACAAACTAAACCATCTTAGGTTTGTTGGAATGAAACTCTATGAAGGACTAGAAGATTCTGCGATCTGAAATAGGTCATCCATGGTCCAAGGGGTGTCGGTGAAAATCGCTTCTTGAAACTACTGTAGGATGTCATTGTTGAAACTCGCATGAGAAGCTGAAGAATATTCTGCTTGTTGAATGTCTATGTTAGTGTTGATTATAGCTATAGACTCCAACG